TTGATTATATTGATACATTTGCTTTGGGTTGTTAGGATGAAGAGTTTTTTGAGTTATTTTATTACTAACAGCTAATATGGACTGGATCATAGGCAGTTCCATTTCAATAATGCCTTCTTAGATTGTGAGATGGTAGAGGAAGTAGGTATCAAGGTCCTATCAAGATTTTTTTCACATGCAGAATAAAGGAAATGTAAGCTAAAAAATATATTATATAGGTTGAAGCAATTTCCAAGGGCTTAAGTTAGATGGTTTGCTAAGGTAATGCTCAACATGGGATTTAATCAAAATCAATATGACCGTATATTATTTGTGAAATACACAACTTCAGGTGGAGTCTCAATATGACTAGTTTATATTAATGATATTATTATGAACATACAAGTGATTTGGAACGAATGGCGAACTTAAAAAAGATTGCTTAAAGAATTAGGTAATCTAATGTATTTTCTTGTTGTTGAGGTAGCATGAAATTTTTATATGATAACAAAAACACATAGCAATCTTATTATTATTATTATTATTATTATTATTATTATTAAAAGACACGTGTAAGTTGAGATCCAAGCTTGTTGAGACTCTCATTAAATTCAGTCATAAACTTAGGGATGATTAAGGTAACAACAATGAAAAAAAGTCAATAAGATCATATATGATTTGTAAATCACTAAACTTCAGGAGGTCTCAGCACAACTAGGTAATATTAATGATATTATCATGAGAGTACAAGTGATTTGGAATGAATGTAGAACTTAAAAAAAAAGATTGCTCAAAGAATTTGAAGTAAAACAATTAGCTAATTTAATGCATATTCTTTGTATAGATATAGTATACCATCGTTATGGAATTTTTATATCACAACACAAATAAATAACCAACTTGTTAAAAAACATGGATATGTTAGGATGCAAGTCCGTCCATACTTCTATGTAGAGGTGTCAAAATCGAGTTGCGGGTCAGGTTCGCGTTGAACCTGGAACGGATCTAACGCTATTTGACAAGACCCGAACTCGACCCTTTTTTGAAAACATGTCATAAAAATTAACCTAGACTCGACCCGTCAGGTTTCCGGGTTGACCCGACTCGACACAGAACGGGTTAAGGTCGAAGAAGCGCGCGAATGGGAGGAAGGCGACTTGTCTCGTAACTCTTGTAGAAGTCACAGTACTGGATAGGAAGGAACGTTGTCGTCTCTTCTAAGCGGGAGAAGAGGAGAATGTCGTCGGTTGGACGGCGGGACGACATTTCGGGCTGTCGGTTAGCGGTCTATGATTTAGTCTAGGAAGGAATGTCATTGACGGGACGACGGTCGGCGGGGTCGTGGGACGGCGAGAGAGGCGGACGATGAGGCCTTCAGGCCGAGTTGACTCGTGAGTCGCGAGTGCAGGCGGGAATTGAATCGAGATTTTTGGGTCGGTCCGGGTTATTGTCTGGATTCCAGGTTATTGTCTGGTTTCCAGGTCAACCCGAACCCAACCCGTTTGACAAACGGGTTGACCCTAACCCAAAATTTTCGAGTCGGGTTCAAATCAGATTTTCGAGTCGTGTCAAATATTGACACCCCTACTCCTACGAAATTCAGTCATAAAGTTCATGATGATTTAGAAGGATACAATACAAAAATAAACCTTCCATCAAAAACTTTCAGAAGATTTATCTACTTATTACATGCTAGACCTGACATCGAGTATGCCGTTAGCATTGTGATTCAATTTATATACAGTTTTCTCTCACTGTTTTCATGCAAAAACTGCTGTCCCGTGGGTAAAAACTGCAGTTTTTATCTTGTTCTACTTCAGATTTGGGCTAGGAACTACTTGAAATCAAGTATTTCCTATCACAATCCTAAAGAAATACAACTTGGAACAGTGTATAAAAACTTTACAATATTTGAAAGGAACCGTAGATAATGAATTTTATTTTGAAAGAGCGAGGATCTTACTCATTAAACATACGCAGATGCATATTATATGGGGCGTATCATTGGCATGAGATCAACTTTTAGATGTTGCCCATTCTTAAGAGGCAACCTCGCAACTTAGAGAAGATCTATAACATTGAGAATTTGGGAATTGCTATGGCTAAAAAATTATCTTGGAAGATTTAAAGATTAAATGGAAAATGTCCTATGAAGTTCTATTTTGATAGCAATTCAATCATTAATATTGCACATAATCCCACATTATATGATTGCATTAATTATATTGAAGTTGATAGACATGTTGTAAAGGAGAAGTTTGACCGTGGTCAAATTTGTACCCTGTTCATAATCATAAGTGTATAACTTGAGGATATTCAAACTAAAGAATTATTAGGGGTAGTCTTTGAAAAATTATTTTTTAAGTGAAATGAATATCATCCATGTATTCAGTTGAGGAGTGTAAAAAATGCCTGACATCCGCCCTTAGCAGGCTAGCCGGCACTTTAACTTTCGTCTTAGCTAGCTCCTAGCTAGTCCGTCTGGCTTAGCAACAAGCCTGTTGCTAGCTTTTCTGCACCAGCTGGTTCTAGCCAGGTTTTCAACCGGCTATTCCTTATTCATTCTACTGCTACATCGTAGATCCATGTAATTCTTATTTACACCTCACCAATCCACGTGGGCTGTCAGTTGTCCTTTTGTATTTAATTTTGTAGCTATTTTTTCAGTTCTTGATTTTGTGTATTTTCTATTAGAAGTTTTCCTAGGATTATATAAATTTTGCACAAATGTTGGAATGAAATACCCAACAATGTCTCCAATTCTTATTAGATAAAGCAACAAAATTATAGATTTTTTTTGGCTGGAGTATCTTAATTATGAAAGTGAATTAAATGATTCAGCAAGGAGCATATGAAAGCATGGTAGTATTAGATAAATTCTTGAAGCAACTGCTTCAAGCTATTTTAAATTTACTGCTAACTATGGTCTGAAGGTCAATTTCCCCTTTACTTTTTGGCTGTTACTTTTTTTTTAAAAAAATTTGTTAAGCATATTTTCTCTGCTCTTCATGTTAGAATTTTTGCAGTTTTTAGAATTTGCTTTATGGCATATATCTATCATTTCCCCTAGCTTATTGGGTGATGAGCATGGGGAGATGCGAGTTGTTTGCATTGCTCTATGCTTATATTTTTTTCAAATATAAATTCCCACTAAAAGCACAAGTGCACGTGTCGATCAAGTAATAAAAGTGTTATGAGAGAGTGTTGATCCCACGAGGAAGTGTTCAGCTTCACACAATTGTTCTAGTATTTGTCTACTTCAAGCTACAAAAATTATCCGACGCAATGAAATCAGGGTTGTATTTTATTTAGAATGAGAATTGTAGAAGAAAATGAAGATACCAATAGATAGAGTGTTTCGAACTAATGACAGTGAAATCTTCTAAGCTCTCATACGTAGACTCTCCTAAATTAATTGTGAATTAGAGCATATGCATCCTTAGATCTCTGTCGAGCTTGTAAGGATGTAAAGAAAGGTTTATGACCTTCTTACAGTTTTTTTTATCTTCATAGACCATGGAATACTAAACATCATATGTCTAGACATTCAAGTATTCCATTCTATTTCTCTTAATTGTTCCAATATTTCTCTGCGAAGACAATATATCACACTTGGTTTTAATTTTACACATTGTCACTACATATATTAAATGAAGAGCGAGAGCAATTAAAAATGACCATTCAAAATTTTAAGCACATGAGTTTATATTAGTAATTAGATTTTTACAACATTTGTAAAAAAACTATAAGTTTAGATGGCCCATAGAATAAAAACAAAACAATATAATTTCCATTACTTGTTCAAGAAAGAAAGTACAAGTAGAAAAGAACAAAAAAATATCACCCGGATTGAAGGACCCCAAATAGATCTTACAGATCAACCCTTCCCAAAGTGAATCTCTTATTACAACTTAACTCTCCACATTCATTTTCTCTCCAAATACTTGCTTGCTCACTACAATGTCAGCCAACCACTCTAAAGTAGGTACTTTACTCTCCTTTATGAAAACTATTCAAAATTCCAGCACTCCCCCAAAAAAAAAAAAAAAACACTCCCCAAAAAAAAAAAAAACTACTTATACTTATTAAAAAATGGCTCAGGCGGCGTGGCACTCGACAAGGTGGTGTTGCGGCGTTACAATATGAACTAGCATTTCGACACTGCTAAAGGTTCTCCGCTACGGCGTTGGGCTTACAAGGCGTGATTGTTTGCTGATCCGGCTTGACGTTGCAAAAGTTGGGTGCTTCAGCACTCACGTCATTTGGAGCTACGACGCTTCTGATGTTGGTGCTCCAACGTTGAATTATTGTGCAATTTTCCCGAGAATCCGATGCTTCAATGTTGATTTATGGCGTTGCGGCGTTGTGAAGCGCTGGACACTAACCTTTGTTCCGTTGGGGTGCTGAATTAAATAACATTTTTCCCAGGCTCCGATGCTGCAATGTCCTGAAATGACGCCGGGGTGTTAATGATGTTGCGACGCTGATGGTTTTGGCAATGCAGTGCTAGTTCAATACTTGGGTGAATTTTTCTCTATTTCCTGAGACATTACTGTACAATATATCAACTAAAAACAACATTCACGAGAATTTAACACTATAAAACACTGTATAATTTTCACTTAACATTAGGCATTATCTCAATCATTTTATTCTAAATCATTCTCTTAGATCATAACTCATCATTTATTTGATAATTTCTCCTAGCCTCTTGGCATAATTTTCCCTGGAGTAACAATTTTTCTGGTCACGCTGATCTTTCCTAGACGTAGGGAAGTACGTATTATATAGTTTCTGTGATTTTATGGTATAATTGATTCATAACTCTCAGCATAAATTAATGTTTGGAGCAATGCATTGAACGAGGAATCACAAGGCTTGATACTTTGGATAACCACTTTTCATGTTTACTTAATGTAGCATGTTTGGAAAGCTTGCTTTGTATTTCTGAACTTCTTCTGTTTAAACATTATTTTTGTTTCTTCCTTTTTATGCTTAAACATCTTTTATATGTTCTGAAGGAAGCATATGAAGAGTTCAAGCATGTTCTTTTGGCATTGATCTTTGATAAAGATGACCAGTCTTCTCCTGTGGCAAATGAGGTAAGGACCTTTCCCCAGCTTTATTTAAGCAACATTATAGTGACAGTAATTTATCAGACCTGTTGCGTGACCAAGCCTGTTTCTTAATTTAATTTTTTTTATTTATGTTTTTAATAGTTTCATTTTTTTTATATTCTTAATTTTCTGCGGCTTAGTATACAACTTAAAAAATGACCATGCATTTTGACAAAATTGGTACTAAGTAATAGTACAATTATATTGTCTAAGGCATTAGCCGTCAAAAGAGTCTTGTTAACGTGGTACAGACAAACAAAAACAGAATATCAAAAAAAAACCCACCCACACAGGCGCGCTCATGCACATGCACAACTAACGCAAACTTCTATTGAATCTTTGTCACATTAATGAAGCTGCATGTTATTTACGTTACTTTAGAAGATGATATCATTTTGCTAAATAATTTATTTTGAATGCATAATAAGAATTTTTAGATGAAAATGCTGCATTTTAATTTTTTTAAGTTAGCTGCTAGTTTTTATTAATTGACTTGCTTTTCTAGAAAAAAAATTCACTTATGCCTCATAACTTAACCGTTCAATTGAGAATTTAATGAATAGAATTTATGAATAAAGGATAAAAATTATTTTATTATGGCGAAGAAATTATGAACGATTGCCGGTTGCTTTTTTAGAGGTTAAATAATGAAGTATTGTTTATTGGATTTCATGTATACATGATGAAGTAATCGATTACTTCGGAAGAATTTTATTTTGCTTTACTAGAGGACACTCACTTTTAAACATTGCCAACAGAAACTGTGATTGATATTTGAACCTTTATTTTGTAAATTTTAGGTTGCAAACAAACCAAATTTGGCTCAGTTAAGCAAAATATTATCTTGTAATCTTTATTTGATTAGACTTGATCATGAAGCACCATCATTTTATGTTAGAATTGACCATAATTTTGGGTATAATGGATCATGTACGCTTCATTAAAAAAAATGACCGTAAGTTTGGGTCATGAAATGGATGAGATTTTTTATTTGCAAACAATGGCATGCTTGTTTAGCTATAATTATTTGAGCTAGCTAACATGCATTACATTAACTTCAAGGGACAAAGAGAGATTTGTAGGGAACCCACCACCTCTAATTGAGCAGATGTGAAATATTTTCCTCTGGCATAAAATTATCTGTTAGATGAACTTAATGCTTTGAAATGACGAACAGGATATGTAGTTGAATAAATGAATAAATTTGATGAGCAGTCCATTCATTTTAAAATTGCGGTAGATTTAAAAAAAAATAAAATTTCAAGGATTTATGCAGCTTTATGAACTGACATTCAAATTGAGATCATAACTGATGTTGTACCTATTATTGAAATTGTAACACCCCATAGTACCCCTTAACAATACAAGGAGTATTACTAACATAGACATTTCATTAGTTGATCATACGATACTTTTGAACATTTAATAATCTTTATAAAACATCCAACAGTTCAGTTCTCATACATCTCATTCCACGGAAGCAACTAATAACTTTAAATTTTAACATAAGATACTTACAGATCCACTACAAAAATCTGAAGTAACATTTCATTAAAATGTTCACTTACTTTAAATTTAGTTTTACAAACAGATTTAAAATTAACATGAAACATTTAAGTACTTACAATTAGTCGTCTTTGACCTTTTTTTTTCTTTTTCCTGTAATAACAGTCAGCAATAAAACAGTGGTGAGCTATGTGGCTTAATAAGTTAGCAACTTTAAATAACATTTAAATTGCATGATAAAAAAATTTCAGAACTTTAAAAACATAAATAAAATTTAAACTACTTGAGAAAACTTCATAAAATCTCATTTGACATTAACATTTATTTTCTCTTAAATCCACACTGAATATCAATTTTACTCATTAAAAGATTTGACTATTCTTTCATAAACATATTCAATGGAGCCATGATAAACTTGACATTATTGCCATTGAATTACATAGAGGTCTCTTTTGCCTCTTTAGGGATCCCTTTTGCTCCACATGCTATACATGTCTCATTTCTTTGGGGTCCCTTTTACCCCACTTGCAACATTTTTGTCCCGACTACACTTGTAAGTCATATATCATATATAACCAAACTTTACTTTAAATTGATATTCAATACACTTTATATTTTCATATTTCATGCTTTTCACATGCTTCCATAATCATTCATATTATCATTTGTATATCATGAATATGCATATAATAAGTAATGAAAAGGGCATTTTTCCAAAACATTATCAATAAGGAAAACATTTAAATAAACATAATAAACCTTGATTTAAACTCACATAATTAATTTATGTAAGTGGTTAATCATACTTGGAAACTTATAGGTATATTCATTTTCTAGACATTTCACAAAAGGTTGATCAACATGCATAATATCGAATCATCTACTTTCATGACTATTTTTCCAAAGTGTCATTATAATCAGTTTACATGTCTAATGATAATATATGCTTCTTAAAAAAAAAACATTTGCATTACTTATCTCCTTGAAGATTCGTCTTTTCAACTCCACCTCGCATGTTGCTTCATTTGAAAGTAACCTATGTTGCACCGATACAGATACGACGACACGGGTACAACACGATACGGATACAGGACACGTCAATTCTTAAAAATACAGGATACGGGTACGGTGCGAACAAGGCATTATAATTTATAAATCATACATAAAAATTAAGAAATTAATCAAAGCATAATATTTGAAATACAAAAAAATAACAACATCATCATTTGTAGCCTTCTAGCTTATAAATTATAATATCAAAATATAAGTAAGTATTAAATGTCTAGTAGAACAACAAAAGCATAAACATAAATTATCTAGCTCATGAAGTTTCAACTATTCAATAGAATGAATGATATGATTAGCTTCTTCAGTGGGTTGTCTTTAAACTTATATATCATCTTCAATAAAAGTTATAGCTTCTAATTCAGGCTCATCAAGTGAAAGATTAGTAGTTTCTAATATTCTCATATCATCAAGAGACTCAAATCCATCTCGGAAATGAGAGAATCTTGCTCGTAGCAGCGGAAGTAAATACAACACGTCTTTTTTTTTTTTCGAATTTCTTTTTGTTTTTCAACAGACACGCGTATCAGATACGGGTCCTTTTGAAATTAAATAGTATTTTAATTGGATACGGCTTTAGCGTATCCGACACGTATCGGTGGCGTATCGGAGGCGTATCCGTGTATCGGTGTGTCAGATACAGCACGCCTTCATAAATAGGTGTATCGGTGCAACATAGAAAGTAACCTACACAATTTTAGTTCTCTCTAGTTTCCATAAATTATAATTTAAATAACTTTGTATAACATTCATTTATACTAACATTATAATTTACCTCGCAACCTCCCCTTTGCATAGATCCAAAGAATCCTCCTTTAAATTTTCTCTCTAAATTTTTCTTCACTGATTCCTCAATTTATTTGCGCACTTATCTCAAACTACAATTCATTACCTGAATCTGATTAAATTCAAATCTTACTATAGGTTTTTAAATAACTATGTTGTTAATACATGGACTATTGCTGTAATCTCCTGAAATGAAAACCAATCTTCCCTCACAGAACTTCCCCACTGCACTAAGCCGATTATAGTGAAGATCACTGTGCCGATATTCTTCTACAGGGACTTTTCTGTACCGAATCTGTCTAGTGTTAAAAAAAAAAAAACTCAGTGCCGAAATCTTCTTTGTTCCGCCCTCCGCACAGCATAACGCCGGTCCTTCTACAATCCCATCCAACACCGAACTGCTACAAGGTTCTCTGTAGCAGAAATCAACAAAGAAGCACTGTGCCGATTCCCTTATTGCCTGTACTATACCAAATACCCTACCCACAGCACTGTACTCCTGTTTGCATCTGTTGGCATTACAACTGTTGATTTTATCCTTTTGTTTGGTTGCATACGTGTGATGAGGGAAAGTAAGGCCCACCACTTAACTGTCATACTACACATCCTTTGAAAGCATCATTTCAGAATTATAATTATCTATTCTAAATTAAATCGGTTAGTTAAGATAAGTATTAATACTTATCCTATTTATTAAACAATAACATAACAGTTTATAAAATTTTAACATAAAAGTTAACATTAATGTCAAATACATTTTTTTTTTTAAATAATTAAATATATTTTTTTTTTTGAATACTGAATTTTGGGTCTTACAGAAATGACTTTTAACTTGATCTACATCTCGAGTATTACACAATAATTCCTACAGCTGGGAGGATATTTTTACGAGCTGACAAGAGCTCGTTCCCAATAACTGATCAATGGATGCTTTTTATTTTAGGAAGTAAATACTCACACTAATTGATCAATGAGGACCGTACACCAAGAAGAGAATCCTAATAACTACAGGATTTTGTCAACATCAATAGGTAAGATTAGAAACATGACAAGGAAGCTCATAAGCATTATGTCATACATTAGCTTGATCAGGATATTACTAGTTGAATAAACCTTGGATTGCCATCCTTTAACTTCAGGCAGTATCACAACTAAACCTAAATTTTAGGTTGGGAAAACAACGCCTAAGTTACAAGTTAGGACTGGAAAGAAAGCATGCGAACTCTTTTTTATTAGTGGGGTTGCATGAATGTTCACGGCTAAGTCAGCTTTAGGGTGCATGAAATTTACATCATAATTTCATATTTGAGCTTACAAGATTGCCTTGCAGAGAAAAATTTTTAATCTATTGCCCACTGATGTCTTGTGCCTGTGCAACTAAATTTGCTTATCACATTTTTTGTGTTGTTTTTTTCCCTTAGATGTTGCAACGTATTAGGTCATCCATTTTTTGCATATTTAAATGCTAAAGAATTTAGCAAATGCAATGCTTACACAATGTGAAAATGATATCTTAAAGCTTGTCGAACTTAAGATACTTCAACCCACTCTACCTAGGATTTTAGGATTCGTAAAGAACAACAATATCTCTATATTTTGTAAGTTGGCAAGCATGGGAAAGATAGGTTGAAAGAAAGGTAGTCTGCATTTAGTGACCTTGGACTTCAAATAGAGTGGTGTTAGTTCTATGGGCTTCTGATAAAAAACAATAAGACCACAGCATAAATCTTATTATGTCCTGCTAAAGTTTCCAACTGTTGAGGTTTTATAGAACTGATAAATGCTCGTCTTACTTGGTTATTTTTCATTAAAGTGAGTCTCTTTTTATGTTATACGATGGAGGAATGCGTGTGTTCATTCTGATGTTTTTGTAGTAGTGTTGTTTGGCAATGGTAGTAGAGGGTTGGCTTTGGTCGGACCCCTTAATAGCGTCTAAGAATTTTCATGTGTTCGATCATCATACAAGTTTAGGCTTGTGCTTGATCTTCTTAGAGCATAAATAACACTTCCATATGTTTATCTCTGAATAGTTGACTCTTATGTTTAAGTTGGTTTTATTGTATTAAATGTTCCAGTGGTCGGAAAGGAGAAGATTTGATCTTGCTGGATTTTTGTCATCCATACTAAGGGTTCAATTACAGGCTTATGATCCAATTTTTTTGTTGACATTGAGATACCTTATATGGTAATTATTTACTCATACTTTTTGGATTTGATGGGAAATTCTTTTTGGCTTTAAGTAATTTCAAGTACTAATTACTTATGCCCTACAAAATGCAGCATCCATAAAGTATTTTGTCGTGACCGAGGCATTTCATCTCCTATCACAGATCTTACTGAGAGGTTGCTCTTTGAGGAGCGTGATCCCCCTGCAATTCCTCGGGAGAGTTTGCTTGAAGCACCTCCATTTGATGAGGTAGAATTTCTACTATTTTCTTACAATTTCAGGGTTGCTTCGTGGTGTTCAGGTCTTTTAACGGGTGAAAATTCAGGTTGATATACAAGCCCTAGTACATGCTGTGGAATTAACAAGACAGGGTGCCGTTGATAGCCTGAGATTTGCCAAGGGGGATCTATTTCAGGCATTTCAGGTTGTTATTAGGTTCATGTGCTTGTGATTGTCTTAATTATCTGGTCATGTTCAGTGTTCTTATAGAGATGTAAACATCATTTACAGCAGCATTCATTTTTTTGCTTGAATACAGTAGTATGTATTTGCCCAAACAATATATTTTTTTCATGGAGAACAGGCGTGCTATCTATGAAAAAAAAAAAAAAATTTCTAAGCAACTAACCTGCAAACTGTTTGTTATGCCATTACAGAATGAGTTGTGTCGGACAACACTTGACTTTTCAGTACTTGATGAGCTGGTTCACGAGTACTGTATATACAGAGGAATTGCAGCTTCTGCCACCATGTCTTCATCAGGTAAATATTCCTAAAGGTTTTCATAGGATCATCACGTCCTTGTATGGTTGATCACTCACCTTTGTAAAACGGCATCCCAAATTTTGTGCAGCTGATCCTGCAAGTACTTCTTCCAGGGATTGTATATCTCCTATATCTGATGGTGAAGCCTCGATTAATAATGTTGGTTCAGATGGGGTTCACGAAATTAATATAGACCATGCAAGCATACGAGAGAATGGCTCTGATATGCATTGTTCATCAGAAAGGACAACCAACTATGAAGATTGCAGCACCAGTACTGCAAGCCATCTGCAGAGCTGCTCTAGAAGGCTAAGAAGAAGTAGATATGATGCATCTTGGGAACGAAGGAGAAAGAGATGGAGAGGGAGGGTTGATCCTCTGGAACTTAGTTCTGATATTTCTATCACTGACAAAAGCAATCAAAATGCCACGCCTTCAGCTCTTGATGCCTCTGGACATAAATGCAAGGAAGAGAAAGTAGGTGTAAAAATGAACTAAAAAATTTCCTTTGTGTACGTATTTAGAGTTGATTTTGATTCATTCTTTTCAATTCATTTGATTTAAAGGTCTTCAGGAATCTTTCTTCCTTTCACAATTCCAGTATCATCGTTGTCCGCAAGTGTGAAATTGTATTGGAGATGAAGGAGCTTGCCAGTAAGGGAATGGTTGCAGAATTAGTTGAGGAAGTGAATGCCATGGATCCTGAGTTTTTCACTCTTAATCCTATGTTGTTATTCCAGTTGAAGCAGGTTGGATTTCTTTTTGGTTGAGATAACCAGTTACATTGTGACCAGCTGTAAAGAGTCTGATAGGGGTTTTGATTTGTATTCTGATTACAGGTTGAATTTTTTGAACTTGTAAATAACGGTAATATTCAACTAGCTCTCAAGGTTGCTTGCACTCATTTGGGTCCCCTTGCCTTAAGCAATCAAGATTTGGTGAAGCCCTTGAAAGAGACATTGTTGATTCTGTTGAAACCTAATGAAGATGCACTTAGAAAAGGAATCCCTTTGTCCGCACTTGCAAATAATCTCCAGGTAAATGTCGAATAACATGCATTTTGCTTGGTTCCCTGCATAATCTTATGTCTTTTTATTTCTTGTCCTGTTTGACATTTGAACTGACTCATGGAATAGTAACATTGAGAAAGATGCTGGAAAAGCATCTCTATCTTTTGCTCTCTTTCCATCTCTCTTGTAAGTGTGTTGTTGTCTATTTCTTAGGTTTGTGTTTCATTTTGAAACCATTTTCTTTGCTGTAGTCCTTGGCAGAAAGTCTCCCTCTCTCTTTTTATGTTTATGCACATTTGTATGTATCTGTTTCTTAGGTGGGCTTTGAACTCACAGAGCATGCATAACTCTTAGGGTATTTCAGAAATTGATTTTATTTTTATTTTTTGTTATTAGGCTTACCCTAGTTCAGATGGAGAGGTAAGTGGAAGCAAGGACCCAGTGTAGCTTCCCTTTAGCAGGTTTCAAGCGAGACTACATCGTATGGTTAGAGAAGGTGGGAGAGAAGTCATGAAGCTTCCTCCCTTGGGCATTGCATGAACGAGACTATCACGCAGCTTCTACGTGCTCGTCGAAGCTTCCTCGAGCAAAAGAGACAAAGAGGAGAATATGAAGATTCCCCCTTAATAGTGACCCAATGACGAATATGGTGAATTTATCCGCGCTTAGTTGCACAAGATTCACAATTTAATATCATCCCCACCCTATCCGGTCGACCTTTTCTCCAACCTTTACCACCTTTAGGCTTCGTTTGGGATGGCTTTCTTACTGTTTTCTAAAGCAATTTTTTGATATAATTTTTTTTTGAACTAGAATTTTTAACACTAGAAAGTTTATTTAGAAAGCAGTAAAAAAACTATCCCAAATGAAGCCTTAGTCAATTCAATTTGTAGATCTCGTGCAATTTAGCACGAGAGATTTCATTCTCTTTCATCGTCCCAAAGCTTTTCCAACTTCATTATTCCCAACCCCACCACCCAATCCCCAACCTAGATCAATGTTAACCCCATGTCGCACATCGCCAATCAAGATCTCGTTGATCTTGTTTATTTGTACCGTATAGCTTTGCCTTCATTTGAGTGTTCCGAAAGTCAAATCGACATGCTCCACTCATCTTCTTAAGAATTTGTTTGGGGGTGGGGATATTGTTGCTTTTTCTAAATGTAGTTGAACTTTTTTGTGGAAAGTATTTTTTAAGTTATTATAAATACTATAAATGTTTTTTTTTTCAAGAAAAAGTAGGGCATTAGATATCTTACAACTATCAAACTTTAGCGTATTTGTTTTTAAAAGCAGCTTCTTACCTTAGAAATTCTGAAATCTTCAAAGTGGTATGAAAATAATACCCAAACAAAAGTGTGCTGATGATGTGAAAAACAAAACAGTGAAAATGCTGCCCGAATAGGCCCTAAAGCTTAAAAAAATGTGGCATGCACATTGTCTCCTTTTTTTTCCTCCCAAGATCACCTCACTGAAGCAAACTTGCTTTGCCCCGGTAATGACGATATTGTTTGTCCTTCCGTTGACCAAGATCCATACTCACTTGTTTCGCTTCATTGTGTCGGAGAGGTGGAGGTCGGACAAGGCGGAGGTGACGGGCTCGGGAAGGAGACCTTGGTCGGTTCGCAGAGAAAGAAGGAAGGAGGCGGGGTTTCGGCCTGGTGGAGTTCGGTCGTGGGAGAGGAGTTCGGGAGCAGAGAGGGATCGGGGGCTTGGAGTTCGGCAGAGACAGTGGAGAAGCAGAGAGCGGAGAGAGTGTCGTGGGAGCGCGAATGCTTCTCTTGGTCGGGTATTTAACAACGGGAGCTGGAGTGAGATCGAGATCTCTGCAGACGTGCGATAGGACCATTCGGCGCCGATTGCAGGATATGGGGCACTGTAGCAACGACGGGATCTCAACTGGACTTGCGGCATGGGCAACGACAGGTAATCATTTTAGGCATTCTTTTATTTTGTTTTCTTTTATCTTGATGCAGACAGATTTGGAGTCATCCTTCGTGGTTGAAGATTTGGAGCATACGAATATTCGATAGTTATTCGAGACTCATCCTTACACTGGAACTTTGATTCTCCAGTCATTTGGGAGAATTTTGTAGACTACAATCACTTGAACTTGTTGAGTCAAATTTGCCTTCGGGCTTCCTACAGTCCTTACTGACGGGTTGACGAAGTGGGGGTTCCGCTACTACGGCCTTTCTTGTGGCTTGTTGAGTAGACGGAGCTGCCAGTGATCCGACCATATTTGGGCGTGTTGGATCTGACCTTTTACACCCATTCGAACCTTAAGCTTTAGGCTGTCGAAAGACTTCAAGCTTCTTCAGCTCAATTTTGTAGGAGTGTGTAGCCACAAAAGTCTCTTTTTTGACCTTTGAGTCTTGGTTTGTTGGAAAAGGTGTTGTCTCAATCTTTTGAGAGATCACCTGCATATACTTTGAAAAACAAATATTTGTATTCTTTTAGCATAAAAGAATATTTAAATTGATAATTTTAAATATTTATTCGGGGATCTCGACATGTAGCGCGATGTCGATCCGAATAAATAATATCTCAACATTTGACTTGCACAAAGAGCGAATTCGGGCTATAATTACAGCCTAAATCAACATTGGAAGAGAGTCTGATGAGCAATTTAGAAACGGTTGTGGAATATATTTAGTTTTTGCTATTACCTCATGATCAGTCAAGAATAATTGGAATAAACATCTTTGTTTCGATGGGATAATTAACATGAATGGATTTTCAAAGTTGATTTTTTTTTCTTATGATTGTTTGTGCTAGAAAAGATAAAAAATAAGAAGATTTGTTATAAAAATTGATTTAGATGTAAAAATTCTGATAATTGGAAAAGATATAAAGAGGCTCGTAAGGAATTTAAGAAAGCAATTTACGATGCAAATAGCTTAGCTTTTAATGATTTATATAATATATTAGATACAAAGGGAGAAATATATATGTATAAGTTAGCCAAACAAAGAAATAGTAGTAAAGATTTAGTTCAGGTGATGTGTATTAAGGATGAAGATAAAAAAGTACTTTTCTTAGAAGATGATATTCAACAAAGGTGGATGAGGTATTTTGCTAAACTTTTTAATGAAGAATGTGAAAATACGATTGACTTTAGTGACTATATCACCATAAATGAAAATAAATATTTTTGTTTTTATCGGCGTATAAGTAAAACCGAAGTTATAAGAGACTTTAAAGAAAATGAAGTGTGGAAAAGCTGTTGAACCTGATGATATTCTAATAGAGATGTGGAAATGCTTAGGAGGAAGGAATGTTTTGGCTTACTAAACTTTTTAATACTGTTTTGAAGACTAAAAAGATGACAGATCAGTGGAGAATGAGTGTGTTAATTCCTGTTTTTAAGAATAAATGCGATTTACATGAGTGTGCAAATTATAGAGGAATTAAGTTAATGTGCCATTCTTTAAAATTATGGAGTTATGGAGCGTAGGTTGCGGCATGATACTAATGTTTCTCAAAATCAATTTGGATTCATGCTGGGTAGGTCTACTATGGAAGCCATACAATTATTGAGAGGTTTGATGGATAAATATAGAGAGAATAAGGAGGTCTACATATGATGTTTATTTATTTAGAGAAAGCATATGATAAGGTTCCAAGAGAAGTGCTATGTTTCGTTGGCCATTAAAAGAGAAGCATAATACTAAGTTAAGTGTTGCAGAGATGAGGATGCTTAGGTGGATGAGTGGCTTGATCCTTAGAGATAAGATATGAAATGAGCATATACGTGAAAAAGTTGGAGTAGCTCCAGTGGAAGATAAGATTAGAGAGAGTCGTCTTAGATGGTTTGTTCACATTAAATGGAGGCTTTCCGATGACCCGGTTAGGAAAGTTGAGGTATTAGATTTGACTTATGTTAAGAAAGGTAGAGGTAGACCTAAAAAGACTTGGTTAGAAAGTAATAGAAATGAACTTTCTTTATTATATTTAAATGAGAATTTGACTTTTAACCGGACACAATAGCCAAAAAGGATTCATGTAGCCGACCCCACGTAGCGGGACAAAGGCTTGATGTTGTATTGTTTATTGGATGAGTATTATTTAATAATTCCTTTGATGCATATGGATAGTCAGGCATTGTATTACCATCGCTAGATATATTTAAGCAACCAGTTGAGTTCCTAGAGTTCTTTCTAGCAGAATATTCTACAACGTTTTGGCCATTCTCTAGAGATAATTGAACCAGCACTTGGAGATATACCTTTATATAATGCAGATCACAGCATTGCCAGTTTATTTGCTGATGAGATATAGAAGTGTTGGTTGCAGAAATGATTTTGGCAACCCAGCTTGTGTACAAGGCTAATCAATTTGAATTGAAAGGCTATCAACTTCACGATCATCAAGGGATACTCTTGAGGAGTTCCTCAAATGTCTATTGCAAGTTCATTGTTGATCAAGTTCACAAGAAGGATTTGCTTAAGAATGTGGTTAAATGAATAGCCGCTGCCTCCATTGGATTGACTAGTGTAGTTGGATCTTCAGGGGAAGGACCTTGTGGGAGGGGGAGTAATGTTGTGAATACACATGTAATTAGTTAATAATTAATAGTGGAATAATTAATGAGAGTTAATTAGCTTAAGATAGCCTTGCAAGTCTATAAATAACCTCATTTAGAATGGGTAAAATATGAGATGAATGAAAAACTTTTTCTTTTCCTTATTTTTGGTGTGTTGAAGAGCTTTGAAATGTTTATTTCGGATCTTGGATCTTAACAGAGCATCCTAATTTTCTTTTACTTATATGATTAATTTACATTTCTATACTTTGTACTGCATTTTTATTTTCATATAAGTTATTATTTGATTTAGGCATTGCCGTTTTCTTTTTAAGTGTTTGCGATGAAGCTTAGCAAGATGTGTTTTGGGTAGCTAAGAGTAGTTGCTTTTCTTTAAACGGAATTGCTAATGTATTTTTACTGATTCAGATGATTAGTGTTGTGAATCATGATAATGACGTATTGACGTACTTATTTGTTCTGCTTATTGCTCTTTTTTTGTTAGTACAGAAAGTTGAATCCTTAATTCACTTGATAATCAGACTATTAAAAAATATCATTCTGAATTAAATTTGTAAATATGAAAATCGGATTTACAAACCCATATTTTGCACGGGTGTGGGCGGCAATTTTTTTAAAATCATGTTTTCATTACCAACATCTTGATTTTCTGTAAATTTTGTGATTAATTTGCATATATATATTTTTGTACTGCTTTTTTTTTTCAAGTTTGTTTTTTTAATTGGTGCATTAAAAATTTTCATTTAATTCACAATGAAGCTTAGTAGGATGTGTTTTAGGCTACTTAGAGTAGTTGTTTTCTAAACAGAATTTCAGAGCTTATTTACTGGTTTTAATGTTTTCAGAATTCAAATCATGATAAAGGCAATTTTTTTTTTCTGTTGATATCTTCTCTTTTCTTGAACATATAAATGCTTGGTATATATAATCTTAGCTTTTTTTCACCTGATAACCAGATTCCTGCTCATTAAAACTTGCTTTGCTGTAGTGAATTGGCAAACATGGAAATCTGGCTAGGCAACCCATGTTTGCATTGGTGTCAGCAACACTTTTCTCTGTGTTTTTTGTTCAAGCTTGATTTATTTATAAACATCTTGGTTTTCTGTAAATTTTATGATTAATTTACATTCTTGTTATTTTTTACTGCATTGTTTATTTTCATTTAATTGGTTTTTTAATAGGTGCATCAACAATTTCTTAAATTTTCTGTGAAATGCAACATTATCTATGAGTAATATTAGAAACTTGCTAACAAGTATAATAAAATAAATAGAACAAAGTTGAACGAGGAAGAAATCCTAGAGTGAGAAGCTCTTGGATTTTATTAAACTGTAGAAAGTAAAAATGACTTAGTGTCTCAGGCCTCCCTTGGGCCCCTTATTTATAGGTTTAAGCTAGATTTAGTACTAAAAAAAACTATTTTTAAGCTTTACCTGTTGTTTCGTGTAAAAATACATGAGACGTGTAGTTAAAAAACATAAAATTGATAGTTGACTGAAGTTGGTAATGAATGAAGTCACCAAATTATTTAAATGGATGTGGTGGCAAGTTGATGAGTTCGTGATAGTTTTGGCAAGGTCAATGTAGCTTTGGTGGCTTTAAGCGGGCTTTGGTGAATTCATGTGGCTGAGGCGAATTCATATTGAAGCTAGTGAGTTCACAATAAAGTTGGTGAGCTTACCATGATCATGATGAGTTCACGATGGAGTTTGGGTAGTTTTTTTGTATCCGTTCTTCTTATTCAACCTATTTGCATTGAATTGGGTCAACTTGATTTGAGATATTTTGGGTGGACATGCTCATCATTATTTTTAGTCTTTAGTCTATATTTTCTTTTCTTATGTTATGGCACATGTTAAATGATGAATTTAGAGAAAATGATCAAAATAATCCCTCAACTCTTAAAGTTTGAAATGAAAATTATAATTATTAATATTTTTTTATAAAAGAAATATTTAATATTTTTTTAAATTACTATCACTTGAAAATTATATTTGATAAATAATTCAATTAAAAAATGACTAAAGTATCTCTTGATGTAACACAATTTACTCTAAAATTTAATGTTAGGACTAAAAAGACCCCTTTTAAAGGAGTTGAGAATTTGTCCCTCAAAAGAGTTGGGGACTATTTTGGTCCCTCACAAAGAGTTGATGGAGCATTTTGATCATTTTCTTGAGGAATTTAATTATTTGATTATATACATTTTCATAGATATGTCCATTCCTTTTGTTTTATTTTCTTCTTTTTGGAACTTATGTCTACCTACTTTGGAAGCATTAAAGTTGTGATTTCCTGGTCTTTATATCACATTAAGAACCATAAATGCCTGGTTCATTTACTTTTTCTAAATCTTTTTAATTTGCCATTTACTAGGTTGCTATGGGTAGGAGGCTTGGTATCGAAGAACCTCAACTTATGAAGATAATGCGAGCAACGCTTCACACACACAATGAGTGGTTTAAGCTGCAGATGGGAAAGGATAGATTCGAAGAGTTCCTTAAAATAGACCGTCTTAAAGAAGTCAATGCGCACTTTAAAGGTGATATTATGACTGAGGTACATGCGGATATTTCAGTCCGTGGTTTTTCCCAGAGCACCTCCAGTTCAAGTAACAAGCTGTCAGAGGATAACAACAGTCCATCGCAAGCCTCCTCAAATGAAAGCCTGTATGATGAAAATGCAATAATTAAAATTATGGTAAGCCATGCACTAACTGATTTATATATACTTCATTGGATAACAATGGAAACGAGTTCTTTTCGCTTTGCAGTCCCATAAAGTATGTCTTGTGCTGCATTTGTGCATACCGCATTGTTGAGTTGTGATAGGAAATACTTGAGTTCACAAGTAACCCTAAGGGTAATACTTGAGTTCGCAAGCAAACCTGTCACCAATTGGTGAAAAACAATGAGAATAATGCGAAATCTGGGTGAAACAGCCCAAAACGATATATTGCAGTAGGAAAATCAAAGCCAAACAATAATGAAAACAAGATACAAGAGCTCCTCAATTCGAGAGGAGGATCGTCTCTCCCAAATCTCTAGACAAGGAGTCTAGAGCCCAAGTCACCAAGGAACCCTAATTGAGAACAAATCAAAACCAAATCCCTCCCTAAACATCTCATGCTCTTAATACAAAAACTTTCCTAATCTAATTTCCCTCCCAAGCCCTAGCCGCCCCCTCCTTTTAAATTTGAATTCAATTAGACTAGTGGGGCCCACAATGTGGGCGGGCAATAGCAAGGGATGCAGACAGGTTTCGTCTCCTATAAACCTGAGCCGGTTCAGGGTGAACAGGCCTAACAAGTTTGCCCAAATCATTATTGTCTTTTTCAATTTGTAGTTGTCTGCTTTGTTTAGTTGAACATCATAAATAATTTAGTTTTTTTGGGAAAACAGTCACAAGGAAAAATTAAATGGTATGTAAGCCGAAAGTAGTTTTCTAAAAAAGGTAGTTTTGGAAGCTGATGCCGTGACTGTTTGCTGCATTTCTCCTTTGGGTGGTGGTCTTGGTTATATCATAACACTAGACGCATTTGTGTTGTGTCTTGCTACGAAGTTTGCTATGGCACACACCATAGTACTCCATACACGGCATGGTTGATTATCTCTGATGTTGTCTTAACAATAAAGTTTGATAGTTAGATCAATTCACCTTTTCTTGACTTACCTGTAGAAGAAAGTAGCTTATCAGTGCCACTCTAGGTAATTAAAAGCAAGAGTATGACCAAAAAAAAAAAAAAAGACTAGCAAAAAATCAAAACTAAGCATGAATGCCTTGCTCTAGGTAATTAAAGGATGTCAGCTAGCTTAATGCTTATTTAATATTATAGAGTTCTAATTAGCTTGTAGGCATGTTATATATCATATTTTAAGTTTGTTTGACAAAAAAGATAATGCTTTGAGTATTTTATATGTTATTAAGCATATTTGAGCCAAAGGACCATTCTTGATGAAAATTGATAAATAGACAACCAAACTATCTAAACTAAGCACTAAGCTTTGAATCTTGTAGGCCAAAAATTAGATGCAACCACTAACTAAAATGTACGAACAAGGCCCATGAGGCCCTCATTGCGGCTTTCTTGAATAATTTTGTGGCAAGGGCTTGTGTTGGGAATCTAAAAACTTCTCATGAAGGAAAAATTCTGGAGTTCAGGTAATTTGAAGCTGCATCATGACTTTGGAGAAGAAAGGATCATACAATAAAGATGTTGGTAAGTATTGAATTCTAGAATAGTAAGCCTCATTTGTGATAGACAATAATGACATCTACTCATGATATTAGCGGCACGAGTCGTAGCCTTGAACTTATTTTTATTAAAAAATGTAAATTGTAGAAAGGAGGCTCAAGAAGCATGCTTTGCCAAAATTGTCAGAATATCAATCATCCCTTGGCATTTGATCCCACGGTCATGAGGAGAATCCGTGGGAGGCTCACTTGGATCACGCCAATATCCTTCTATATTTGGGTAGATGAATTAGGAAGGATTATATTGAGGCAATTATGTATCAATTAGAAGTTATTTATTTCTTTATTAAGACATCTTGTATAGATCTATAAATAGGGATAATTTTGTATAATAATTAGAAGGTATTTTTACCCTTCTCAAATTCTACGAATTCTAACATGGTATCAGAGCCAACGATCTTAATTGCCATCGAAGAATGATCTTAGATCGTCGGAAGAGGAAGAGGAAAAAAGCTCGAAGCATTCGAGGCTTGATCGCTGCCAACTCCGTGTACGCCGAAGACGGAAGCTGAGACGGAGTCGAAGCTCCGATCCAAACTTCCGATCAGACAGGAAGGACAAGTTGTAAAAAAATCGTAGCCACAAAGGAGCCGAAGAAGCGACGCTGGACCTAGAAGCCCGAAGCCTGAAGCCGAATGAAACCGGACGGGCCGAGCAAACTGTGACGAAGTCGAAGGAAGGAAGGAAGCGGCGGGGCCTTGCGGGACGGACGGGCCGAGCAAACCTCTGTGAGACGGAGCCAAAGGAAGGAAACATCAAAGCCTCTAGACGTAGGAAGGAGCCGCTCGGAGGAAGATACTAGCTTCGATGTCGGAAGGCAGGAAGAAGCCAAGAGACGAAGTCGCCCAAGAGAATCACAAGCTGAATTGATCCCGTCTGGAAGAATCGACCGCAAGAGCCGAGCTCTGCGGGCGACCAGGACGAAGCCCTTGCGGACGAAGCTTGCAAACGAAGCCCAATATGGACTCGGAGCTTGCGGAAGAAGTGGCTGAAGCAAAGCCGCACCGACGAAGCCGCACCGACGCTCAGAAGAAGAAGCTGTTCGCAGACGCTCGATTTGATCGGAAGCTCCTTCCGATTATCCTGTTCCGCTCAGATCCACAGAGACGCCCTCTCGATTATCTTAGATGGGCCGACAACAACAAGAAGTCTTAAATTAGATTTGAGACATGATTAAGACCTGATATCAGCCTTTATTGCTGAATGCTGATATAATCAAATAACCCTTTATTGCTGATACAAGCAAATCAGCCTTTATGGTTGATCAAATTAACTTTTATTGCTACCATAAATACAACCTTCATTGCTGGAAACCTGAGGGATACAAGTTCCCACAACCAGCCTTAATTGTCGGAATTTTGAGGATAGTATTTCATCATCGGCCTTCATTGCCGGCTTTCTCTGGTGGTTGATATCCTATCTATAACCAATGCAGCTCTACCTCTAAACGAGTAATTGCAAGCCGGTCTCCAGCTTGAGGGGGTGTGTCAGAATCTCAGTCATCCCTTGGCATTTGATCCCACGGTCATGATGAGAATCCGTGGGAGGCTCACCTGGATCACGCCAATATCCTTCTATATTTGGGTAGTTGAATTAGGAAGGATTATATTGAGGCAATTATGTATCAATTAGAAGTTATTTATTTCTTTATTAAGACATCTTGTATAGATCTATAAATAGGAATAATTTTGTATAATAATTTGAAGGTATTTTTACCCTTCTCAAATTCTATGAATTCTAACAAAAACTTTACCATTGTTGGTGGTGCACTTTAAGGCATCATCATGAGCCGCGTAAAAAATAAATTCATTTTAAAATAGATAATGAAAAATGTTGGTTGCTTGAACAATTGCATAAAATTCAAGATCATATGCCCTAAAGTCCAATTTAGGCCTAGACAAATTGGCATTGAAATAGGCAACAAGCCAATCAGCTTGACTCAAGATGGACCCAATGCCACGTTTGGAAGCATCACAATGCAATTCAGAAGGGCTGAGAGAAGTTCGGCAAAACCAAAACCGGCATTGAAGTGAGACATGGTTCAATGTCTTAAAATGCAAAATTGGCCTCTTTGGTCCCCTGGAATGGTGCGGATTCAAGGAAATCAATGACCAAAGCCATATTATGGCTGAAAGAAGGAATAAAACACCTGTAAAAAGGAGTCCAACCCATTAAAACTATGTATGTTAGTCATGACGCAGGCCTGAAGTTAATCTTGAAAGGCTTCAATTTTCACGGGATTGACCGAAAGACCATGCTATGACAATACTACATATTCCAAAAATTGAACACAGTTCACTAAGAAAGCACATTTGTGTAAAGTTGATCGGTGCAAAGCACTATCAAAACTTTTCGCTTGTGTTGGATATGCAAATCATGGTCAACACTATATAAAAGAATATCACAAAAGTAAATAATGACAAATTTACGTGATTCATGATTCACATAAATGTGTTTGGAGTATTCGTGATGCCGAAAGGCATAACAAACTATTTATATAAGCTTTCACGAATCTTAAAGGTTGTTTTCCATTTGTCTTCCAGACAAATTCAGATTTGATTGTAACAATTTGCTTAAAATAACCTCACGGTTGAGTCGGTTGAGCAAATCATCAAGGCGAGGAGTTGGAAAATGATATCATATAGTAATTTTGTTGATGCGCATGTACCACTCATTTTGGGGTACATGAGCAAGAAATTGATAAAATTAGTCATATATTCATGGACCGATACTGAACCTTGACATAAATTTTGGATACATTTATAAAGTTCCTGTTCATAGTTTTAAAACGATAAGAATGTGTTAACCTCAAACAGATAAAAAAAAAATGAAAATGAAATCATACCTCTGCCGCCTGGATCCCACAAATCCCGCCGAAATTTCGCCGAGGCGTTGTACAGCAGCGTCAAATCGGTCACCTCCCGGATATCTTGCGACTCGCCTCGATCAAGCCTCCCTCAGCGTCGTTAAATATCCGACCCAAACGAGGCTCTGGTTGCTGCTCTCGGCTCTCCAACTCTACACGAAATCCTTTTCCCGTTCGCTGCTTCCACGATCAGAGACTCGACTCCCGTAGCTGCTCCGACCAAATCCCGACCTCCTCTCCCACAGCAGCTGCCTCCGATCTCACTGCCCTAGTCCGACGCCGGAGCCTCCTTGCCCGACTGCTCCTCTCCAAACCGCAGAGATCCCGCCGATTCCCTAGCCTCACCCGTTTACCCCGGAACTTAGTTCGTTAAAACTCCCTCGCCGAATAAAAAGAAAAGCGAGTGGAGGCCAGGGCCGAATTTTCGGAGCCCACAGAATGCTTCCTTCATGTCGATCTTGAACGAGCCAACGAAGGACAAATTTCCTTAGGTGCCACCTATTTCACCCAGCCTCACATAAATATTCTTCAAAACTAGCAGAGGCCAATAGGCCTTTTATACTGAAGCAAAAACAAAAACACGCAATCACATAAATGACCCGTAAGAACTAATAAGCTTGTCTGGAACAACTTTGGTTGCGTCATTTATTTTCTTCCCCATGAATTAAATCTAACCAGTCGGTCCTCCCACAACTGTGATAAACTGGAAGACTATATGTTGAACTGAAGGTACTTTTACAACACTCGAGTATGTTTACACATATATCTGTTTCTTTTTCTGTAAAATTCAGTATAAATTGGGAGAATATGTTTACGCATATTTCTCTCTCTTTTTCTATAAAATTCAGTATAAATTCGGAATGTTAGGAAATTAATTTTAATCTGGAAAGACCTTCAATAGAAATAGTAACTAGATTAGCTAGTAATTAGAATATGGCAATCCTATCCTAGCAGACTATATGACTAGCATGCTATTTTCAGATGTTTGATAATGGACAGTTGACATAATTATTATCTTTCTAAATAAAGTCTTGTAACAACTGTTATGTTATCTTGAGAAGTTAACATAAAAGTTAAAGAGTGACATATATAAGAATATTACAGTGGATGCATGCTTAGGAAGGCTTATATTATATAGACTGGTGCTATCACCATTCTAAGAAATATTACCTAATGTAAATTTAGGTGATTTGGATATATATCATGGAGGCAAAATATATAGTAATGTGGTTGAATAAACTTAGGCTTCGTTTGGAACAGTTTTTTTTCCTGCTTCATAAAGCAACTTTCTAGCACAAAAAAATAATTTTTTTATACTAGAAAGTTGTTTTAAAAAGCAACAAAAAAGTCATTCCAAACGAAGCCTTAATATGAATTGATTACAAAAAAAAAATAGTTGGAGTGAAGTTATCATGATTAGAAGTTGTGCAAAAAGATTTTTGCAACCTATAGTTTAGACTTAAAGACTTGATAGTACAAAATAGAAATCAATCGATAACCGGGCTTCATAAGATCGGTCCAATATAATTGTGATAATGCAAATTACTTACAATGACCTATGTGAAGATCTATGCTATAAATCGGGACACACCTGGATAACCAATATAAAACGAGAGAGTAATTCCATTTATGCTTCGTTTGGGTTGGCTTTCTTAATGCTTCTTAAAGCAGCTTTCTAGTATAAAAAAATTAAACTTTGTACTAGAAATCTGCTTTAAGAAGCAGTAAAAAAACCGTCCCAAATAAAACCTTAATTTCTATTCATTCTAAACTTTACATGTAGCTGACCATTTAGGCTTCATTTGGGACGACTTTCTTGCTGCTTTAAGAAAGCCGTCACAAATGAAGCCTTACATATAGTTGGATAAAAGCTTGTTGTTGTTGCTGCTGCTGCTAAACTTTTCTATATCAAATGCTTTGCAGGAATTCCTGGCCTTACCAAGGGCTGAAGCAATTCATCTTCTAATACAGCACAACGGGAATGCTGAGACTGCCATTCAACAGATGTTTTCGTAGCCTTTCACTGTACAGTTGTAAACTATGTTTCAAAGAAAAATTACTCATTCAATAGACACGCCATTGTTGGTGTGGTTCAGGATTTCTTTGTTCCTCATGACATCAACATTGTGCGATAGTGTATAATTCTTTGTATTAATATTTCCATCAGTTCTTTCACATACAGTTTATCGCTGGTAAGTTGTACATTAGCTTGTATATTATAGCTGGAGAGGAATCTGTAAATCATGAAATGAAACTATTGTTTATATTCTGAGTTTTCTATCATAAGCAAAAAAAAAAAAAAGTCAAAATATTTTGATATAATTTCTATGATGATGGGGTTGAAATTTATTGAATTTGCTTTTAGATTAGTGTTGTATATTAAGATTGTCATATCAATTTCAAAATAAATTCAATAATTTTGAAATAATTCCGATTTTCTTGGAGATGTTTGAATTGCTTTATGATATTTTTTCTTGGCATATCATCTTCAGTTACTGTTTTTAATTACCCTTTTGGTGTTCCATTTGTAGATCATTTTCTGACTTTACTGTGTCAATTGGTTGCTTTTAAACTTAGTTCTAAATTCTAATGAACATCATATCTATCATTTGTGGTAAATTTGCTAATGGAAAAAAAAAAAGTTCAAGATATTATGATTTGTTTAAAATTTATTGAATTTAATTTATGATTTAAAATTTATATTTATTTTATATTAAATCAATTAATTTTGATATTTATATTGACTAATATTTGATCTCTTTATTTTTAAAAATTAATTTAGGTTTTATTTGGGATAGCTTTTTTATTGTCTTATTTTTTAGATTGTAATAATAATTTTTTTATTTGCCAATTGTTTTTTTGTTGTTTTTTTTAATTGTATTTAGAAGTTATTTTTTACTGTAGTTTTAAAAAGTTATATTCAGTTTTCTTGTTGCTTAGTAAAATTAATTTTTAGTATAAAAATATTTTGAAAGTAGAGAAAAAATAGTGATCTAAAGCTCTACCAAATGAAGATGTAGCTTTTTTTTTTTTAATTTAGACAGTGGCCCATCTTTGTGAGAAATTATTTTTTGCAGACATCGGGCCTTTCGGAGGGTCAGAACGTGTCACGTCACCAGGTACACAGTGGGTATACAGCCGCGGTGCACATCAAAGGGGTGAATTGACGTGTTCTAATTCGTCTTCGAACGGCGTTCATATCGGCACAAAATAATTTTACCATCTTTGCACCCTTAAAACCATCAATATGAAGAAATGATATTGATTCAAAGATGATTTAGCCCAATTTTTGTCATGATTTTGATGAAGCTAATGTCCATTGGTTTAATCTATTAGATTTTTATGATTTTTTTTTTTTTTGTCAAAGTGAGCATTTGAATTCAACTCATTAGTATTCTCAAATATATATATTTTATTAGTGAGTTATAAAATTAAGAGTATCTCCTATCAACTTTAATAATCCCTTCAATCTATTTTGGAAAGGAATTCTTATTTGAAAACTCACTTATTGAAATCTCCTAAAATAATTAGTGTAGACATTATTGCTTGTGAGTTTGTATAAAAGATTTAGGCATTGAAGGTGAGCAACTCTTTGGGACTCCACCGTCCAAAGTTTGATCTTCACACTTCTTTAATCGTACAAAGTTCCAAGATTAGTTAAAACCTTGTATTCAAATCCTATATATATAACCCCACCGGGCTTAGGTGGGTTGGTAGGCGTGTTTGGTTGGAAACCCTCATCCCAAGTTCGAATCCTCTCTCATATGACACGACTCCTTAAGTGGAGAGAAAAGAACTGTGGGTCCTGCACCTGTGGGGTTGGTTGCTGGTAGACCCACTGAGGGATTAGTGGACATCGCCAAGCGCGTCACAAGCTGACGTGGCAGCAGGCCGATACCCCCGTTCAAAAAAAAAAAAAAAAAAAAACTATACATATAACATTTATGTATCCTAAAGTCTTGCTACCCTATTAATGATAGTTACAGCTGGAGTTCCAGCAAGAAATTGTGGGGTGGAATGAAAATTTGTGGTCATGAGGTCATCTACGTAAATAATGAGGTTATCTATCATTGTCATGATGCATTCAAGATGCTGCAAGTGATGCTAACCATATAATTTTTGTTTTGCATTAATGTTATTTTTTTTCGGTCAACTTGTTCTGGTCAATGAAAAAAAAGTTATTATTATTATTAGAACGGGACATCTATCCGCTGTCACTCCAAAGGGAAAGTTTGGCGGCATAACTAATCTCTCAGCGGGACACTAGCAAGGCCACCCACCGGCATCGGACCAACACTTGCTTTGCCCCGCTACAGAGGCGAGTCCGTAGTAGAGGAGATTTCCACCCGGGATAGAAAGTTCCTAATCGTGCTCGCCCATTAATCACCCTAAGCCTCGATGGCTAAAAAAAAATATTAAAATAATAAAATCTTCCTGTTGATTCTATTGTTATTGTTTTGATCAACTAAGGGAGATGATTGTTAAATTGTTATTTAAATTAGAAAATTTATATGTATTAATATTATTATTTTGGACACGATTTGGCCAATAAAAAAGCTCTAAGAATATCAACTCGATCTCTCTATCAGTATAGCTTCATTCAAACAATTAGGTAGGATTTTTTTACTCAATTTAGTTTCATTTTTTTATTATAGATGATCAATCATATTATAATTAATTATTTTAAAAAAATAAAAATAAATACAGGCTATAATTTGGCATCCACATGTGATCATGAAATGTGTAGAAGGCAAATTGGATTTGTTCTTCATCGAATTGATTGGGTGTGAATATTGATTGGCAGATTGGCTTAAAGGCTTCATTTAGGATGATTTTTTTGCTGGTTTTTAAAGTAAATTTTTAGTAAAAAAATTTTGTACTAAAATTTTGTTTTAGAACACAGTATGAAAGCTGTCCCAAACGAAACCTTAGTCAATTCTCAAAATTAGTTTTTCTATATTTTAAATTTTTCTTTGGAAAAAAAAATTAATTTTTTTAATATATTTTGGTTCAAATATTTTATTAAAAATTGATTTTGATGAATAGGAATATTATTAAATTTATTTTGAAATAAGTTAAAGATATAAGAAATTTTATTATATTTATGTCATAATAAATTCAACGTTTTTATATTCATTTTTATCAAGATTTTGTTCAATTTTTTCTTAGTCGTTTTTTTTTTTGTTTTTTGTTTTTTTTAAATAATGAGCGCAGATGACTTCAAAGTCTAGAAATTCAAAAGAAAGTGAAATTCCAATACTAAAGGCTTTTATGAAGGTCACCTTTTTTGTCGGTCTTCTAAAATTTATTTGTTTTTTCCTTCCATTATTGCTTTGAACGCTTTTTTTTCCCTCTCTCTCTCTCTCTCTAGATTTAGGGAAGTTGGTGAGTAACATAATCAGACTAATACCTTTAAAAATAAAATAATAATAAATATAAACAAAGTGAAGAACAAAAAATGCATCAATATTTAGAACAGGAAAAAAAGTAATTATGAAAATAAAATGAATATCGAGAGGTTGTAAATAAAATGATTAAAATCATGAGAAGAATATTTATATATATTGGTAGATCGAAATGAGTGAGCAAAATGACTAATAGAACAATTTTTATACATCATTAAATTTTGCTGAATTCAATTAATTATTTTGAGATTTATCTTAATTAAAAAATTATGTCTTAGCTTTTCACAAAGAATCAATACACAAGTATATAATGAAAATTTATAATAAACACTAAAATTTTTATATGAAAACTCCAAAAAAAGGAGAAGACTATGAAGCCCGACCCAAATGACCGAAATGATTTATTGTGTAGATATGTTACAAGAGTTCTCTCATTCCAATTAATTTGAGAAGACGACATTATAAAATATATTACACAAATTTTTATTTTTGTAAATGTGGTAGAAAATATTGGAGACATAACAATTAGATGTAGTTTATCGAGCAATATTATTAATAGTGCGACGATAGTTAGGAAGATGATAACAAGATGATGGTGATCAGGTATAGCAGAATAGATTACGATAATCAAGTAACATTAGCGAATGATGACAGTCAAGTGATGATGGTCAAATAATGGAGAAATTATTTTGTGCGGAAGTCGAACACAATGTTACGTCCAGAGGCGAATCAGGTGCAGCCACGTCAGCAGTACCGAGCCGCGGTACACAGCGAAGAGGTGACGTGACACATTCTAGTTGGTATCTGGATGGCGTCCCGCTTTCGCACATAATAATTAATCCAAATAATGGCAATCAGGAGGCAATGATTAAGTAGCAAAAGTTGAGCGGTGTTTTTCAAACAATAACTAGTGGTGATCATTGACATCAAATGTGAAGTAGAACTTTAAAATTCTTCAAATCTTCAAAAATATGGGGCTTGCTTGATTCATCTAATAAAATCACTCAATTTAATTATAAAATGGCTGAAATTAGACATGTGATGATTATGAATTTAATTTTAAAAATTTTCAATGCAAACATTTTATTAAATACCAATGACTTATTAGTTCTTTTTGTTGAAAATTTGATTTATAATGTGCTGAAAATTCATTGGGAGGTTCCTTATAACTTGTAAGATGTGAACAGAGGTGGAAGATCCTTCGTTCAAAAGTCTACGTTTTAATATATTATATTATTTTAAGGAATTTTTTTTCTTAATTTTTTGGGAGGGGGAATATTTTAAGTAATAGATTATAGATTTCGATTAAAATTGCGTTTAAACATTCAATTTTTTTTAAAAAAAAAGGTAAAGAAAGCGATAGTTATTAAATGGATATTTAAATGTATATTTTATAATTTTTTTAATTTAAAAACAATAGAAGTAGTGGTTTAAGTTTTAAATATAATATTTATGTCAGTTAAATTAAAAAGAAAAAGTAGCAAACAAGTGATTTTTATTAATATTTAAGTATTTTTCTCTTTACTGACGACAAAGTTACAGATGAAGATGGCTCCACTCATATTAAATAAACTAAAAATTAAAAAACGAAATAAACAGAGGAAAATTATTTAAACAAATTAAACTGAAAAAAAAAACAAAATAAAATAAACTGAAAAAATAAAACGATGAAATATCTTACCTAACTGAGCAGCGAAAACTGAAAAAAAAAGTGCACAACAAGAAAACGGGCTCTAAGTGGGCCAAATTAATTGAATTTAATGGGCTGTCATTGGACCAAATCAACCGAAATTAAAATAAACTCACATGCATTACATACATAAGATTCGAATTCATATTTTATATTAGCTGGTTTTTATATTTTATTTTTTTATGCTCCGTTTACTGAATTTTATTGCTCTTAAGCTGCTTTGAAGATTTCTCCCTAAGATTTTCTTCAACAATTAATGAAATAAAATTGGCAAAGTTATTTTATAAATACAATTTAAATCAGAAAATAGATTTTGACGCATACTATGATTTTATTTCTATAGGATATATTTAATTTAAGAGAAATTGAAAAAAAAAATCATGAAAATATTTTATTTAATAATTTTATATTAGATTTTTTAATACTAATTAATAGATGGTAGAATTTTATATTTCCTTCCAAGATTTCAGCCCATCCATCGAAACATTATATACGCAGGACTGACGCTGCTCTTCTCTCGGCCACTCCCGAAGGTCTACGTTTCCTTTCCACCGCACAAATCTACCATGACCTCCGGCACCGCCACCGCCGCCGCCGACGATGAGGTTATCTACGATATGTTCTCCATGATGCGAGCGTATCGCAGCGGCCGCGTGGAGCGCTTCGAACCCTTCGAATTCGTCCCGCCGTCCATCGACCCACTTACCGGCGTCGACTCTAAAGATATCGTCCTCAATCCCATAACCGGCCTTTCCGTTCGCTTCTACCGACCGCCTTCGGTCTCCGCCGATGGTAACCAGAAGCCTCCTATCGTCGTCTTCTACCACGGCGGTGGATTCTGCGTCCATCGCTCCTCCTCCGCCCCGTACCACAATTACCTCAACTTCCTCACATCCAAAGCCAACGTCGTCGCCGTATCCGTCGATTACCGCCTCGCTCCGGAACATCCGCTCCCCGCTGCCTACGAAGACTCATGGGAGGCCCTCCAATGGGTCATCGGCGGCGGTGGAAATTGGGACGGAGACAAAATCATCCTCGCTGGAGACAGCGCAGGAGGGAACATCGCGCACTATTTGGGGATGAGGCTTGGAAGAGAGGGGAAGAAAGTGGAGGGGATTGTGCTATTGAATTCTTACTTTTGGGGGAAAGAGAGGATTGGCGTGGAGCTGGAGGAGAGAGAAGGGACGTTGCTGACGGTGAAGGTTGTAGATGCGGCGTGGGAGTTTTTGTGCCCGGAGACGACGGGGTCCGATGATCCGAGACTGAACCCGGTGGCGGAGGGGGCGCCGAGCCTGGCGGAGCTGGGGTGTAAAAGAGTGTTGTTGAGCGGCGGGGACATGGATTTGTTGGTGGATAGATGGAGGGTTTATTATGAGAAATTGAAGGAGAGCGGGTGGGGAGGAGAAGTCGAGCTTGTGGTGGTGGAAGGGGAGGATCATGGATTCTTTTTGCTTTATCCGGGGAAAGAGAGGGCGGAGGCGTTCTTTGATAGGTTCGTGAGTTTCTGCAACGGCAAATAGCTTGTTTGCTTCGCCGATTAAGATCTTCGGAGAATTTTAGGTGTGGAGAAATTTAAATATTTAGATTTATAGAATTTATCTGGTGGGTTGGGTTATGCAATACTCATACCCTTTGTGTCCTATTTTCTTAATTTAAATTACAAGAAACGATAATATTGATATATTCAATATTTGTGTATCCTTTTATTCCGCATAATATTTAGGCTTCGTTTTAGATAATTTTTTTACCGTTTTTTTAATTAAAAAAATAGTATAAAAATTTTAGTTTAATTTTTTTTTATACTAAAAAACTGATTTAAAAGTCAATAAAAAAAATGATCTCATCTGAAGTCTAAAAACAAATTTCAATTGTAAGGATATTTTTAGAATTCAAATTAATAAATAATAATTACTATTTTTTATTATTTTCTAAAGCAAATTATAATATATTCTTTAATTAAAATTTTTTGTACTTAAAAGTGGCTTTGAAAAATAATAATAAAATTGTCCCAAACGAAACCTTAGTTATATAAAGCAGTTTTTCATCCCATAAATTTTTTAAAAAATAGGGAGAAAATAATTAGAAAAAGAAATTTTAATAATTATCAGAAAATCAAAGTAATTAAAAAGCCGCCCCAAATAAACCCTTAACCATATTTAAATTACAAATTCATCAAACATTTTTGACAATTATCAAATCAATGCATCATCCATTTCATCATCCCACATAAAATTCAATGCACACAAAATATGATCTCATGCTAATTAAGAAGCCCCCAAAGCATCCAAGAGATCATTTTAGCACTTTAGAATGCTAACTCTCATCATAAGATAATGAGTTCAGGGCTTGAATGTGTGTGAATTTATTATTAAATTTTTCAAAACGTCAGCATCACAAGTTAGAAAATCTGTATCCCTAAGCCAAAACCCATCAAATGGCACACCAAACAAAGAAATATCGACTACAGGCAAAAGCTACCATGCAGCTATCAACACAGATTTTTCCAGCCAGAAAAAAACTACTATCTCGAAGGAAACCTGCAACATTAATCAACTATTCCAGAAGTCCAGAAGGATAAAAATCAAACACACACCATCGGATGCATAAAAAATTATCTTTATCAAGCACAAATCTAAAGGCAAAATCAAGTTGGAAACTTTAAAAGAACTCCGATTTCAGCAAACTTACGGTCAAACTTAACGTCTCGAAAATATGAACCCAACGACACCAAATTCGACTAAATCTGAGCTCAAATGGGTCCAAATCAAAGACCCAAAGCACATTTGGAAGGTTCAATCAATAATTTGGAATACCAAACAGTTTTCAAAAGTGACATGCTTATAGTCAAACGGAGCGGCTCGATGAGACAAGTCCAACGTGTCTAATATTGTCAAATTATGATATCATTAAGACACTCAAATATCGAGTAAACGATCCATGATCAAGGATATACGTATAATGCTTAGACAAAAATTTCTAACTGTTTAGCCGCATATATTCTAGCCCACAATAAAGACCATGAACACAAACATGCAGCAGCAGAACTATGGTTTTGTGAGAGAGATTGAAAGAATTCATAAGTTGCAATTAATTGTGCTTCATCTTCATTTGAACAATATCTTTGAGTTTATGAAATAGATAATCTACAAATGATTCATTGATGATACCTACTACTCGATCAGATGCAAAACAGTTTGGTACTAATTGATCATATATATATAGCTTTAGATGGAGAAGCTCCACTGCTTTCCCTTTCACATCTTTATAAATGTCAGGGCATTACATGTTGTTGTGCTTGCTCTATTATGATTTATTAGATTCTTGGCTATTATAATTGTTGAATAGCTCTCCTTTTAAATGCAATGGTTTTATACATTTTGGTGTTTAGTTGGAATACAAAATGATGCAAAGTTAAATATGGTATATGGGTGTCAATATTTGACACGACTCGAAAATTTGATATGAACTCGACCCAAAAATTTTGGGTTAGGGTCAACCCATTTCATCAACGTGTCGGATACGGGTAGAACAAATCGACCCGTTCATTTGAAAAAATGGGTCGGGTCCGGGTTGACTCGAAAATCCGAGAATGACTTGGACTAACCCAGAAACTCGCATTATGTCAAGTCGTGTCGTCGTTTCATCCGTCAGGCATCATCATCTCTCTTCATCATGCGTTGTCGTTAGGCCATACATTAGACATCAGCGTCGTCTGTTTGAAAGAAATGCGTCAAGTGTCGTCTGCCGTCTGCCATCCACGGACGAGTGGTTGGCCAGCTTGGCCTTCCTCCCATTCGCGACTTCACGTGCGTCTTCGGCAATAACCCGTGTTGGTTGGGTCAACCCGAAAACACAACTGTTCAGGTCAGGGTTGAACAAACGGGTCTGGTTTTCGGGTCAATTTGTTCTACCCTGGTTGAACAAACCAACCGGTCGGGTCCGGTTGAACAAACCGACCCTATTTGAGCATTCTGTCATATGGCAAAATCACATCATTTCACCTAACTCTTGTACATATAAAGGATACCATAAGAACATTGAATAAACAATTAGTTTTATAATAAAAATCTAACATCGCCATTTCACATTCAAGCCACACGCTTCAATCAATAAAGTTTCTTTCTTATGTCTTTCGTTTTTATATGCATAACTTCTTCACACATCACATTATTTATATTATATAAATTTCTTCGAAAGAAAAAAAAAAGACTTATATGATATATATTTAACAAATATTCGATGTATTTGAAACCAAAATGTTATTTTTACTCAATTAAATCAAAATATTTTAATAATAGTTTTTAAATTATGTATTATAAATAGATGTATGTCCTTAATTTTGTTATTTATAAAAATAACATCTAAATATTTATATTAAGCAAAAAATTTCTATATTTATGTGTTATCAGCAAATCATTAAATGTTTAATAAATTATTTTGAATTAAAATTGATAAATTTATTGAAATTTTAATTGATATTATTATCAACAAAACATTATATTGGTGTTATGTTTATAAATATACAACTATTTATTTATTATGCAAAGAAAAAATTGCTCCTTCAAAAAAATATCTCCATCGACCTCACTCTAAAGTCTAAACCATACAATTTTTCGTCCACTCCAACCTTTCAAATATTCAAGGCCACCATAAGCAACTCCGCGGCCCCTCCCGGCGTTGACACTGACCACATCATTTATGAATTGCCAAGATTCTTGGATAGTAAACTTGCCGAGTCGAGTATCTATCTTAACAAGCCTGGCTCGTTTAATCCTTAATTAGCTCGAACTCGAGCTCAACTCCTTTAAAAAATATCAAACTCAAGCTCGGCTCGAAAGCTAGAGCTTGTTTGAAAAGCTCGAACTTGACTCGTTTAATTGGCTTGATTCTTTAATTGTGAACCAAAATTTTTATTTTTTATTTTTATTTTTTTTGGAATTTTTATTTCTAACACTTAATTAAAATTTATTTTTAATTATGAAAAATAACTTAACTAGTCATCAGATGTACATAGCTTTAACTTTTAATTTCCTTAGAAAAAAATTAAGTTGTAGAAGAAATCATTATATAGTGAGCAATCATCTTTCTTTAACAAAATTTATTTAAAATTTTGATCAATAGCAAGTGCAATTTTTATGCAGTTAAATACAATAAAAATTTGATCAATATAAAAATAGAGCATTCATATCAATGTTAGATCAAATTGCAGCACATTATTACAAAAAAAAAAAAAAGTAATTGAAATAATACAACATATTAAGAAGTTTCATGATAGAGTATAAATTAAAACTGATAGAACTATTAATTTCTTGTCTTGCTGATATTCCACATTCATCAAATTCTTCAATCTCTATTCTTTAGTACTAATTAATATGATACAAATCTGAAAATTTAAGATGAAAGCTAAAAACATAAATATTTCTCGATGTATTGCAATTCTTTAAAAAGAGATAAAGTATTTTTTTATGGCATGAAGCAACAAAATTCTTGTATAAGAAGAGCTGTTGATCATGATCGTTACGGGCCAACATCATATTTTTTAGGGGTGTTAATTTCAGGTCACGGGTTAGGTTTGGGTCGAATCCGGAATTGATCTGGCACTATTCGGGTTCGGGTCAGCACGACCCGTTTTTGCAAACAGATCGATTTTTCGGACCCGAACCCGACCCGACCTGACTCGCTTCGGTTTGATTTTTTTGAGTTCTTGCATGCGACGGACAGCGCGGGCTGCGCAGCAACCTTGCAGCGTGCGATGGCAGTCGGTATCGTGCAGCGGCAGCGGCAAGCCGGCAGCATGCAGCGGCAGGCCGGTAGCATGCAGCGGCGGCGATGCCAGCGAGGCAGCGACGCGACGCGCGAGACTTGTGTGGGGCAGGCGGGCAGCCCTGGTAGGTGGGGTCGCGGTCGGGCAGATTCGGGCAGGGCCATTTTCCGGGTTATTCCCGGGTCATTTCCGGGTTTCCGGGTTAACCCGAACCAGACCTGGTTTTGCAAACGGATCAGTTTTCTGAACCCAAACCCGACCCGCTTCGGGTTCGGGTCAACCAAACCCGAAATTTTCGGTCAAGTTTTCGGGTCGGGTCCAACATTGACCGGTCAGATATTTTTACATCATATAGCGCTGAGTTTTTAAGGCAGGCAACGCAAGCAAAGTACCATCAGTTAAATGCCCATTTTAAATCTACTCTAATACTGAGATCCTTTCATGTGAGAACTACAGGTAAAAGAATAAAAAGAAAAATTAATGGGCGTTGAGTGAAAATATGGAGCAGTTAATAATTAATTTTCTTGCTATCTATATATTCATTTTAGGGGTTTTACCTATCTAATATTTAAAACTATTATATTTATTTATCTAACACCCAAATTTTACTATTTATTATTCTACGATCTAAAATCTTTTGCCTTCATCAAAACTACCACTACTTAACCTCCCGTCAAATACCTCACCCCGACTGTTTCCGAAAGGCCTGCTTCACTTTGCGTAGGAATCATTCTCCACTTCGTGTGAACGTCTCAATCGCACGGAAAATTATTAGCTACAAACACTGGACAGAAAGAATCATCCGGATTTATCTCTATCTACAGTAAAAGCGCAGTCAAAACGTAGTTAAAGCGCAGCTATTATAGTAACTTCGCTTTAATTGCGCTTTACTATAGACAGAGAGAATTCAGATGTATCTCCCTGCCAGGTGACCGGACACCCGATTGCACTCCGTTGGCGCCACTCATCCTCTCCAGGGCGACTGGATTGAACTCAGCCGCTTCTGCTTTGGATTTACGAAAAACTAAGAGACAGAGGGAAGAGGGTTCGAATGCCAAGTACATTCAGTTCATATGAGACCTGGGCTATGTTGTGGCTGCCTGTTGGAACTTTAGGTGAGACTTTCTTAGAGTAAAATCTACGGCTTGTTGTCCTTGGATGGCAGAGAGAAGCAGCAATATAAGGTGGCCGTGTATCACATACAATAAACTTCGTACCCACAAAGTTTGATCTTAGCTTGCCAATGTAGGTGTTGCTTGACCTTGAGATGTTTCCAGGGTCCATTGAAATTACATATTCAGTATAGGTTGTGCGTCGACTTCTTCTTTTTAAGGTAAAGACAATAGGTTGATTTTGACTTGTCCCACTTAATGAAGCATTGGATCATTCCATCTTGAGAACCAGGCTGCTTCAAGGAAACAGGGGAGGTGATGCGGAGGTGCTAGAGCTTTGGCAATTTTAGATTGAAAGGTCGAAAAGCCTCATCGGCATTCCAGGCTTCGGCGAATGACTCATTGGCTTGTGTACAAACCCATGTGGTGAGCCTAATGTCGCACTGGCAATTTAGGCCACGGAAGAAGTAGTGGTCATCGTTGCCCACGAAGGCATCAGGCAGTGAGGTATTAGATGGAAGGTTATGGAGTGGCAGTTTCGATGAGGAATAATGATTTTACATGGTAGAATAATAATTAAATTTTAGATGTTAAATAAGTAAATAGAATAATTTTAAATGTTAGGTATGTAAAAACTCCTTAATTTTATTGGCAAAGAACAGATAATTTAAAATAAGTTTAATTTTGTTTTTAATTATATTTTTTAAACAATTATATCAAATAAATTTTTTTAATATTTATATGGGTTATAAGCAAATCATTAAATATTTTATGAATTATTTTAAATTAAAATTGATAAATTAATTGAAAATTTAAATGATATTATTATCAATAAAACAGTAGTTAGGCTTTATGTACATAAATATTCAAATATTTATTTATTATACAAAAAAAAAAAAAATTGCTCCTTCAAAAAATATCTCCACCCGCATCGCCCCGATCATACAATATCGCTATCATTCCAAATTCCAACTTTTCAAGGCCACTATGAACTTCTCCGCCGCCTCCTCTCCTCCCGTTGACACCGACGACATCATATTTGAAGTGCCCGGATTCATCCGCCGCTACCGGAACGGCCGCGTGGAGCGCCTTATTCCTGACGAGCTCGTCCCCCCTTCCCTGGATCCAGCAACCGGTGTCCAATCCAAAGACGTCACCATCAACCCCACCACCAGCCTCTCCGTCCGCCTGTATCTCCCGCCCTCCGCCACCTCCATCCCAAAAAAGCTCCCTGTTCTCGTCACCATCCACGGAGGCGGCTTCTACCTCTTGCGCTCTTCCTCCTCCAGCTACCACAACTACGTCAACTCCCTCACCGCCAAAGCTGGCGTCCTCGCCATCTCAATAGACTACCGCCTCGCGCCAGAGAACCCTCTTCCCGCCGCCTACGAAGACTGCTGGGAGGCGCTGGAATGGGTTTTCGCCACCGACGATCCATGGCTGTCTAATTTGGGCGACTTGGAGAACGTTTACATAGCCGGAGAAAGCGCCGGGGGAAACTTAGTGCACAGCTTGGGAATAAGGCTTGGAAGGGAGGGCAGGAAGGTGGAGGGGCTGGTGATGGTGCACCCGTTGTTTTGGGGGAAGGATAGGATTGGAGATGAGGGGGTAGAAACCCGGAAGGGGGGAATCCTAACGCTGGAGCATATCGATGCGTTGTGGCCGTTTGTGTGTCCGGAGACGACGGGGTTCGACGACCCGCGGATTAATCCGGTGGCGGAGGGTGCGCCGAGCCTGGCAACGTTGGGGTGCCGGAGAGTGTTGGTGTGCGTTGCGGAGCTGGATTTGTTGAGGGAAAGGGGGAGGCTTTACTACGAGAAGTTGAAGGAAAGCGACTGGGAAGGGGACGCAGAGATTCTGGAGTCAGAGAATGAGGATCATGGTTTCTTCTTTTTTAACCCTGGGAGCTTGAAGGCGCAGGAGCTCACAAAGCGGATTGTCAATTTCTTCAACAAGTCCTGATCAATTAATCGTCCTTGATATCTGCTTTAACTATCTTTTTAGCTGCTGTGAATGTCTTCTCCAATTCGCACGATTAGCTTCTGAGCTATTTCTGTCGATCTGATAATGTTATGCAGTAAATCTCTGATGTGTATGAATGCTATCTGTGAGGCGAGGAAGCTTGATCGTTTTTATTTTGATGATTGAGCCTGGATGAAGTTTCGTTTTATACTTATTTGAGAATTTTTTGGTAGATCGAAAACAAAAAAACTTAAAAGGAAAACATAACAAATAGTGCTCGCTGTGCGATTTCTTAAGAATCCAGAAAAAAGGTATTTGTCCACTCTAGGATTCTGTGCGATTTCGTAAGAATCCAAGAAAAAAAAAGTATGTAAACATTGATTATAGATGTTTGTATATTTTTTTAGTGGGAGATATTTGATTTACAAGAGTGTGAAAAGCTAATAGAAAATATGATGGAGTTGGTAAAATGTGAGAAGGCTTTCAGATGGTTGTGATTGTCGGGCTGCGGTTTTGCGATGGCAAGTCCGGTAGTGAAGGTTTGATTGCTACAGTTGGTTGTGAAGGTTTGACAATAGTGTTGAGGCAACGATGGTTGGAAGTAAAAGATCCACTAGCGGCGGTCAGTTGGGCTGTAGTCCAACGACCACGGTCGCGTGACGTATTTCAAACAATGGTAGTTTGCGATTGTTTGACGATGGTTGAGCGATGACTTGACAATAATTAGATTGTGAAGATCCGATGCAGATGATCAGTTAAGTGGTGTTCCGACGACAGTTGTTGGTTGATGGTTTGACAGTAGCGATTGGATGGCAAAAAGTTTAACAACAGCGGTTGACGAAAATCTTTTGATAGGCTAAAAATTACTTGAAATTTATTATAATTGTAAAAATCATTGGCCCAATGTTACTAAGAATATTCTAAGGACAATCCCACCTAAATCACTCTAAACTCCCTTACATAAAACCTAAAACCTAAGGGTATATGACCCCTCTCCCTTCTATTCTTTTTAACTTCAATTTTCTCTAAGCATAGATTCTAAGATTTTAGATGACATAGTCAACCCTAAGTTCGAATATGCTCATCCCTCACAAGTTTATTATAACCCTTAATACTAAAAGTTTTAAGTCATAAAATATGTTAAGAAACAATTAAAATAACTAAAGATTTTAATTAAAATCATTGTTGGTAAATAAACTTTTGAAAAGCTTTATTATATTATGTTATTAGAAATATATCTTTTGAAAGTGCTTTATTATGTAATGCCCTAGAAGACATAATAAAAATTATTTTATACATATTAAGGCTTCGTTTGGGATCGTTTTCTTACTGCTTCTTAAAACAACATTTTGGTAAAAAATTAATTTTTTTTTGTAATAGAAAGCTGCTTTTAGAAGCAATAATCCCAAATGAAATCTATGTTATGCAATAAGCATAACCTTATGTATTATTGAATTAAGATTTATTTATATTACAATATTGTATCACTTTGCTAAGTGATGTGCAAATGTATTGGCTATATTATTTAGGTTAGAAATATATGTTTTGTATGAGCATGATTATGTAGTGTCCTAGAAGCCATTAAATGTTAACTAGAATGATGTTGTGTTAGGCCAATTAAAAAAAAAAAAAGAATTATATGTTTGTTTGAAGTTAATGCTTCTAACATAATTTTGTTTTTATTCAGAATTTTTCGTATAAAATTTGTCTAACTTTGGGGCACAGTCAAAGAATTAAATTTATTCACATGATAAATAAAAGTAGGGGTGTCAATTATTGATCCGACACAAGCCTGAATCAAAATTTTGGATTTGGATATTCATATCAGTAGCAAAACTTTCATTAAGCTGATTGATTTTCTTCATTTGTTATATTTTGTTAAGCTTAGCTATACATATTTAGCTAAGCTTTCTCAAACTTAGCCATTTAATTTTGACTAAGTTGGTCTTTAGTATAATCATATTCTTTTGATTATATGCACTATTTCTTTCTTGATCTTGCTCTTTTCATTAAGCCATGCCCCTTTAACAATGTTAATTGTTCCCTCAATAGTCCCCTTATGGTTAAGAAACCTCCTAAACTAGCCATGTTGTTTGGGCTAAGTTTATCCTTAGTTTAGTCATGATATTTTGACCATGCTATTTTGATTATATCATATGGGGTTAAATATAACCCTTGATATATTTCTTAATTTTTTGAGCTTTTACATCAAATCTAATTTTTATTACAAAACTGTTTATTTTTTAATATTTCTTGCACATTTTGATTCCATCACAAATAATTTTTACTATTAGGACATTTTCTTTTTAATTCTCCAAACACATACTTTGCAACCTTCTTAATATTATTAGTTGCTACTTTTTCCTCATAATATTAGCTTCCACATTAACAACCCAAATTTTGAGATATTAAATTTTACTCTAAAAAATATTTTTATTTGTATTTTTTAAATGACCCATCTAATATTAGGTCCTCATTTTACTTTATTTTTTATGTTTCACCACTTCATCTTAAAGGTCAAAATTAAAAAAGCGATATTTTGTACATAAACTTTCACTATGAGTGACTTTATAATATTTGCAATCTAAATGATCTTTTTTTTTTGTAATTAAATAAATATTCTGAGTTTGACTATGTTCATTTTTATAAGTGTTGAAGTGTTCACATCTCTTTTCTTAAATAAGATATTCGGCATTACAAAATTATTAGTTAGAGCAAAATCGAATATGATCTTACGACCTTTATTAGTTGCTCAAAACATATAGCCACTATAAATGCTTTTAAAATCTTCTACCACTCTACCAACATGTTCATTTAAATTTTTTCAATAAAAACTTTTTTTTCAAGAGGTATTCCTCATATTAATTCTTCTAAACTATTCAAAATTTTAATTTTAAGCACTTATCCAAACCTACTTGAGGAGCAAAACACTTATAGTATTAATAATCTTAACATCAACAATCTTTAAATCTATAATTCTATCTTCAACTATATTCATTTCTACAATATTATCTTTCAAGCTATTATCTATAATCCATTTCAAGTATGTCTCTTACATGATTGCTAAAGTTTAAAGTCTAAACTATCAATTTCCTTAGTCATTTCTTCAACCCATTTAGTTTTATGAATACATACATAGAATATTTATCTTCTTACGAATCATAATATCTATTAATTTTATTAATTTACTAGTAAGAGAAACTATATTCAAAGTTTTTATCCTAATTCTAGTTTTATGGACTAGCATTTTTTGCCCATTTTCATTAATGATGTTATAACACTTGCTTATTTAACACTAAAGTCGGACTTCACTGTAGCGCCCCTTACACACTTTTCATTAGATTCAGGTCATATAGCTAGTGCATTTCAGGGAAAACCCTAGCATTAATAACATGTCTTAAAGGATTATTTCTTTATTGTTCAATAAATTAATGCTAATTATCAACTGCCTAATACGATCAAACAAATAAGAAAATGATCTCTTAAAGAAAGCTCCAATGGCTCTTCTAATTTCAACCAAGTATCATGTTCTATACATTATGTAATATACCAGGATAAAACAACATAGCACCAGGAAGATCCCCAAACCCAAACATGGAGCCACATGAGCCACCCAAAGCAACCTGCATGATTTAGATCAAATCCAACAGAAACCTGCAAAAGGGAAGAAAGAAATGACCCAAAAGCCAAAAACCAACATTCAACAGCCAACCAAAGAAATAACACGAGCAACAAATAACCACAAGACCACCCCCACACACATCAACAGCTAACAACAGCAACCCAACCGGCCACAACACACCAACAACCACAGAACAAATCTAGAAACCCCCAACCACACAACCAAACCCAAACTACAACACCAAGACGAAACGAAACAACCAAGGCACACGGGCCATCCACCAACCAAAGCAAAACCAAATCCAAAGGTAGAGCCAACCGCGAAGGGCCAACAATACTAGTGAAAGACAACAAACACAACCAAGTAATTCTTTTTAGACTTCCTCCTTCCACATTTTCCAACTCTACGAGAAAATATTTTTTCAACAATGCTATCCACATTCAAACTATGCATCGCATAGAACTCATCGATAGACTCACCTAAGTCATTCCCAACACCCCCGCATAGCGCAGAATTAGACCCAACCAATCAATCATTTTGATCCAAACAAGTAATTAATGCAATGTTATGATTAGTAGTTGAGATAATAATCTCATCAACTATATATCTTTGAAGATTTCCATTTATTGCGTAGGAATAGAAGATTGACAGCATTCCACATTTACCTGTGACCAAAGCTTTGAAGAGCAGACGATTTCTATATAAAATATAAAAAGGATATTTACATTTATTACATTCAAATTAAGTAAAAATTTATAAGGATAGTTGATTGCTTCATGCATTTGATCATTCCATGCATCTTCGCGCACAATGATCAATCACATGGAAATGATCTCTTTGCTAAGAAATTGAAGCTAATGCTTGATTTATGATCGAGACTAATAGGGCAGAATAGTAAAAATTTTTAAAAAAATTTACATGCACAATAAATATAAATAATTGAATTAATTTTTAATGATACAAGTTGGAATTCTTGGAATATATTTGAATTATTAATGTCGTTGGTAGTTTATTAGTGTTTATTGGATTTTCTAAATAAGAATTTGGTATCTCTAAAATAGAAACGGTTTGTTCTTGCATATTTCTACCGGTTTTCCAAATTAAGACCGCGGGTACATATAATTCAGAAGAATATGTGAGTGATTCATACACAGCATCTCTTTCTTTTATCAAGGGCTCTACCAATTGATATGTTTCCACAAATAATTGAAATTCAATTTCTTGATCTCTATCTTCAATTTTTTTTCAACTTATGAAATTCTTCTTTTAAATCCTGATTAATGAACCTACAAAATCCCTCAAATTGTATCTGACTAAATAGAGATACCAAATTCTTATTTAGAAAAATCCAATAAACACTAGTAAACTACCTACGACATTAATAATTCAAATATATTCCAAGAATCCTAACTTGTATCATTAAAAATTATTTCAATAATTTCAAAGACTCTAACCGAAGTTTATTTATCATATGTACCACATGGTATTTAAGCCATAACATAAAAGAGAGATTGTACGGCCTTGAGCGCATCTACGATCAAGGAGATCAATATCAACAGTCCATTTAAACCATTCCTAATGTACCCTTAA